GAACTGCACTGTCCAACAAAGCGGACAAGAGATAAAAGCCCCATCCCTGACACAAACATGGCCTTGGGCACAGTGACATGCTGAGTACGATGTCTCCTGATTCCCTGATTGGCCGGCCAACGGCACAGCCTACCCCCAAAATCCACCGACAATTGCCCAGTGTGCAGCTGGATATCTGCGTGTGTGTGTGTGTGCAGCTGCATGTGCAAACAGTTTGTCTCTGTGTGACGACAGCATCAGTCACGTTAAGCGTAGATCATCATCATCATCAGTTCACACATGATCTGTGCCAGTATAAACATATCTGCTGGTCATGTGATCGAGTGTTGCAGCGACAGTGGGTATTTAACAGCGTTGTTGGGCCGCGGTATCTTCACTCTGATGGCAGTTGATGTTCTCGCTATGTTCCATATATCTATCTATCTATTCATCTGTCTGTCCGCCTATCAATCTGTCTGTCAGTCTATCTATCTATCCACCTATAAATCAATCTCTCTCTCTCTCTCTCGTGGGGGCCCATGCTGTGGCCCTCTTGTTCTTCTCTGAAGAGGCAGACATGTTTATGTGCATGTGTGTATTGTGGGGGTTACGGCTGTGCTCAAAGGCGGGGCCTGTGTGAACTGTGTGTGTCCTCATTGGTCGACAGAGGCCCTCCCTCCTCCCTTTTAAAAGCCTGCATTTTCACCTGAGTTACAAAAGAGCTGCTGCTCCTTACTGTGGTACACTTTCTTCCTAAAAAAACACTTCCTCTCAAAGAAAAAAAGGATCACCCTCAGAACCTCTTTAAGGATCCTTTCAGTGAGTGAGTATTTTTGCTTGAAAGTTTTGGTTTGAACTATGTATGAAAACAAGGCTATATAAACAATCAGACATAGATTTACCCTGCACCATGTTATAATATTTGTTGTCAAGGAGTTTCTCCTGCAAACTGTTTCTTCTGCATTTAAGAGCAAAAGCCTTTATTTAGTTTTTTTTACCCTTTTCTTGATTTCTGTGGTATCCCTCGACCCTGCAGAGGCAATAGCCACCTCTTCAGAGGTAGTGGCTGATGCAAGAGTTTGTTTGGGGGGAGGATATATGAGATCGTTGGAGCTCTTTCACAGTGGAGACTTGAGATTTTTAAATCATCTCTGGGTTACAGGGTCCTTTATTTCTTCCTAAAGTGTGTTTCAAAATATTATTTTATTTTGAAAGTATGTGTAAAGGTTTTAAGAGTCAGTGTCTTTAGGTTTTTTAGATTTCAGTGCATGCAGCCCACTGAAGTTTATGTTATTTGTGAAACTGGTATCAGCAGGAAGTGTGACTACTGGTTTTTCTTGCATTTTCCTTTTTTTTTTTTATTTCACCATGTGAGCATTTGCGTGTTAGTGTCTTTAAAACCAGTGACAAGCATTTTACCTGTTGAATTCTCAACCAACTTTCATTATCATTTAAAAAGTTTTCCCATGAGACGAATGATGAAAAGTAATCATACAAAAGCAATAAAAAAATATTGCTGTTTGTGTTTCTGTGCAGACAGCACGTGCATCTTCACTCTCGTCTCCGCAGTTGCATGCCTGTCACCACTGATTCCAGCTGTTTCATTATCATGTAGGGCTTTTTATCCAGAATGCAAATGGCCTCAGCAGTCTGTGTGACCAAGTGCAAATGTGTTTCGTCTCTGTTTGGGGAGTTCAAGTGATAATGCAAGCAGGGCAGCAAATTCCAGCAACAAGTGGTCACTCCTCGAGACGTATTTCACACGTTATATGAATGTTAGGTGTGAGCTGCAGTCAGTCCAGTCATGCAAGTCTGATACTAGAGCCGGCCTTAGTGTGTCGCAGGGCCAAACAAGTGAGTCTTTAATGCTGTACCTGTAACAACAGTGGCATTAAATAGTGAAATACAAAGTTAACCCAGTCAGACAGGTTAATCCTTTTTGGCAATGAGAAGTGTGAAATGTTCCCCCTTTCTCTCTCGCCATACAACAGAGAGCGACACTGAGAGATTGGGTGTACTGGCTTGTGTGATGCAGTTGTTAACGGTAATGTAGCCACTTAATCTCCGTTGGCTCCCAGATATGGGGTTTTAAAGCGGCATACTTCCGAAGAGCAAGATCGCGGAGGGCACAGCAGCCCATCAGTGACAAAAGCATGGTTTAGAAGAAGGTCTAGTCCCGTAGGGCAAACAGTTTCAGCCAGGTGGGGTCATGCTGGAGAGTCTTAACACCAACAACGTAATTTGCATACTATGTCCTTTGCATAGTATGTCCTTTACAAAATGGAACGCTTTCTGTGGAGGCATAGTGGCCTGTGTACTGTAAATGCTTGGGTAAAGCATTGTGATGCAAAGAACATGCTGCCCATCAACTTCCTTTCAGTGACTGTTGCTTAACATTTTAAAGTAATGACCCCAAGTGCATTTACTCAAGTGCAGTACTTTTAAAGCGTAACTTTTACCCAATGTTGTGCTTCATTCTCAACACAGTATTATTTCTAACAAAAACACTATGCAGTCTTCTCTGGCAGCTAGAAAGACATATATTTCCTTAATGTGACTAAAACAGTGCTTATGCATTGTATAGCTCTATAGCTGTTAGGTTAAATATGCAACAGTTTGCTAACACATTAGCCATATCAACTTCAAAGATGATAATATTACCTTTTTTTTGTGCCCCCATTGAGCAAAAACGTTAATTATTGTGGCCAAGCAAAATGACCTTGATTATACTGATGATGCTTCTAAAACGTAAAATAAAAATAAAACTGATGAATAGAAAAGAAATATCTCCTTGTGCAGAAGCGGTGTCATGTAGGAGACACAAAGATGTCAAGAGAGTTTGAGGTGATAAGAACTGATGATGGTGTCTGGGTGTAAAGAAAATCATGTGATCTCTGCAGCGGCGTTGATACGTATCTTCCTTTCTCTAACTGATCGACCTGACTGCTCCACCTCTCGTCTGAATAATGCAGAGGATTTGTTGCTGTTGCGAACGCGTATTGTGCAGAGAACCTCCTGCTGTGTTCTACATGTGTGAAAGGCAAACTGCAGGTAAACTCCGTAGCCATTCTCCAGGCTTTTTTTTCGGAGTTGGCTTGCAGTGAATCCTGTGGAGGATCTCCTGCTGTGTTCTCACATGGGCTCATTCGGACAATATCCCGAGATCTTAATCAGGGGACTGGCCAGAGAAAGTCTGGAGCCTCTCAATTGGACATTTTTGTTCTCATTTGCAGCTCCTCTGGAGAATTCACTAAATTCTCCTGAGTTCAATGAATGTCAGAAAGCAGTTAAGGTCTTGGCTAAAGCATAGACGTGTAACTTTGAGTTTGAATGTAAACATTAAATTGTGCCACAGGGTGGACACTCATTTATTATTCCTGCAAAAACAAAAGAGAATAAATAATGTAGCTTTAAGTAGCGTTTATAATCTCACAGGCTTCGTTCTCTCACTGCGTCTGTTCTTTTTATATAACTGAATAATGAATGCTACGCTGCTTGCTCTTTTCTCTTCAATGGTCAAGGGTGAGCCTGAATAAACTGGTTAATACAAGAACAAGACTAGACAAGTTGATGGTGGCTTCATGAACCCATTGTATCTTTAACCTGGTTTCAGGGTTTGTTGACATAACCCTTTAATGTTCTGCACAACTTTTTGGTAGAGCACATTTTGAGTCATTATATCTCAATTGGAAATGTATTGTGGAGCTCCCTTATAGACAGACAAAGAACTAATGAAGGAAGGACGTGGAGCTTTTCACCACAGGTCTGCTGAAGGGATTTTAGCAGTGAATTGGTTTGACAACAAATGTGTCAACCTTCTGAGCAATGCCTGTGGGATCATGCCTCTTTCAGCTGTCAGAAGGTGGAGCAAAGAGGCCAACATGAAGATTGCCGTCCCATCCCTGCCTACAATCAACATATGGGAGGCATTGATCTGTCTGACATGCTGGTACACATGTACAAGACCCCAGCCAAGTCGAGGAGATGGTACTTTCCCCTGTTCGGATTCATTCTTGACCTGTGTATCTCAAATTCCTGGTTGGTCTGCAAGAGGGACTGTGGCCTACTGAACAAAAAAGCAATGCCTCTCAAAAGGTTCTGCCTGGCAGTCGCCCACAGTTTGGGGCATGTCAAAAAGCCAGTATCCAAAGCTGGTCGACCATCATCCTCCTCTCCACCACAAATGTCGTCTCAGAAGAAACGTTACACCTCAAGACCCTCACAACCACAACCAGATGTGCGTTATGACAACTACGGACATTTGGGGTGTGTTGTAATGGAAATGCAAGAAATGCAATGTTTTCCTGTGTTTGAAAGCAAAGCAGGAATGCTTCAGAGTATACCACCAGAAATAGGCCAAGAACATGTAAATACTGTTGCACGACCAGTCAAAAATCATTTGTGCTGTTACACAACCAGTCAAAAAATAATTGTGCTGTTGCATTATCACGGGGATGAGCAAGTTCAATTCATTTTTTGAAAAAGATAGTTTTTTATTTATTTTGTTATTGCTATTTGTAAATGTTTGATACTTTTACCATAAAATAACTTCTCAACTGTTAAGTAGAGGCCAATATCTCATTAAGTGTGGGGTCTAATAAAAAAAAGATTGTTGTTATTATTGAATCAAGTAAATAAAAAATGCTAAGACATTTTTTTCCATTGCTTTTTTGTGATTATGACTGTATTTTCCATTAATGTGTTTTGATGTCATTATAAACAAAAGATACTTGTTGTTACCACTAATCTAGCTCTGGATCTGTGTTGTACATGGTTGCATCATACCCTAGCCTTCCTCCTCAAGTTAACATAACATGAAATGGTGGCTTGTGTGGTAGAGGGGCCCCATTTCTTCATTCAAGCTGACAATAGTCCCTCGTGCAGTAATCACTTACAAGTTGTTCTTCTTGTGGTGATATCCCGACAATTTGTTTATTTTTAAGACATGGGCCTGAAAAAAATCTGAGTCTTCAAAAACATTTTAGTCCCTGACACTTTCCACTCTTATTTTCTTCTTTTAGATAAAAAAAAGTCTAGCAGAGGTTGAGGAAGAAACGTATCACACCCTTGTGAAGTCCTGAGATCTTGAAAAACGGAAATTTCTCCGCCCCCCTCATCTCACTGTGCGTCACTATGCCAGGAGTCATGGATCGTATGGAGCTAAGCAAAGTCTCCACGGAGGCTGATGACGACAGCACCGACAGCCTGGACGACCGCTACACAGAGCCCATTGACTCGGAGAAGGCCACGATCGACAGGTGAGCAGCCATGATGTCGAGGTTTCTGTTTCCCTTTTCCAAGTGAGCTGACACTGAAAGATGGCTTTTTTTGACATTGCAGCTCCAGTAGTGACATGGCTCAACACTCAAGCCATGATTTAGTTCATTTATTCCATCTCAACATTTTGGGTCTAACAACCGTTCTTACTGTGTAAACTACAAATACCACAACTCAATCAATCCCACTAGAACCTGATTCTTCAACGCGTCTGAACATCGAATCTGATTAGTGACCTGGGTTTAACTGTAATCAGATGACAGCATATTAACACATTATCTGAGCTCCTTCCTTAAACTACTCCTCTTTTACACCGCAATTAACAGGTCAACGCAAGTAAATCTGCCAAAAGTGTTCCATTGCTATTAGTGGAGTTGGCCTGTGTTTTTTCCCTCCGGTGCGTCATGTTCAATGTCGCAAACGTACCGGTGCTCTCTCACCTCACTGTGCTGCCAAATTGTTTCCCCCGGGTGTCATGTTTCCATCACTGCCGAGAGGTTTCAGAGCCGATTTACTGCAGAGTCATTTGATTGAATCCATTCCCATTGCAGACAAAAGCCAGATGTCAGTGGGTGTTATTGGGTTTTTTGACCAATGGAGCTTTTGTAACCTGCTTTTTTTTTTGTTCCTGTAAATTGCACTTTTAAATTAATGAATGAATTAGTTTACTTATCAGTTAAAGAGCTGGTTTAACTTCAGGGCAGCATGTCAGTCTTTAGTTATAAAAGCTTGTACAAAATTAAGGTGGCAGCAGTTTTGATGGGTGTGAAGCAGCTTGAATGTTTTCACACGTTCTAATTTATAAATTAAAATGTCTTGCACACCCAGCTGACCTTGAATAACCAGCACAGACAGGTGACAACCAATTCAAAGTGTTAATGTCGCATCACCAAACATTATCTCTAGAGCACAACACACAGATTATTGTTCATGGTGAGAGGACGGCTGGGATATTTTCATTTTTTGTGACATAATGTAACATAGAAAGTTCATATACATATAAATACTGTGTATTATGTGTATGCATATGGTAATATTTTGCTGTCTTTTTTTTCTGGGTCCTTAAAGTCAGTTTATGGACGAAAACGATGATGCAGAAAGCCAGAAGTTCCTGTCGAATGGGCTGATGAAGAAGAAGAAGTATGAAGAATATCATGAAGAATATGTAAGAGAAAAAAAAAAAACTCCATGTTTCTGCCTCTCTTGAAAAAACATACATTTATAATTTTAGTCATATTCCAATCAGGTATATATGGTATGTTTCTGTTACACAATGAAGAATGAGCTAATCTCTGCAATGTGATGTCATGGCAGCCGCAGCTCCATTTGAGTAAATAATCGGAGTGTGGCAGATTTTGGTGTCAGGATCTAAAGCCGGCTTTATGCTCTATCTGGGTGTTCTGGTAAATGTTGGCCGTTGCGAGCTGAATTTGAAATAAGGGAGAAAAGGTCAGTCAGTAAAGCTGAAAAACTACTGGTAATTTAATAGAAGAAGGGTGTATTTTGCATTGAATTGCATCTTTTAGGTTCTTGTAGTTTTTAAGTCTTGTGTGGGTTTTTACGCATGCTCCTAATTCTTGTTGTCAACTGCACTTCTGAGTTGTATTCTAAATATGTAATAGAATTTATATTTTTTTTTCAGCTCTATTTCCCTCATAAAGATTTCCCTCTTGTCTTCCTTTTCTGTATGAGCAGCATCCTGGCCACACCTCCTTCGGGATGTCTGTGTTCAACTTGAGCAACGCCATCATGGGCAGCGGCATCCTGGGCCTGTCCTACGCCATGGCAAACACTGGCATCATTCTCTTTTCGTAAGTTGTGCAGCCGCAGATTAGTAAACTCACAGAGTGCATGGAAGGGTGTGTGCAAGAAATGGAATGACGGGTCACATTGGGTGGTAAGAAAACACTGAAGAGTAAATGCTGATACAATATGGTAACATTTCTGTGGTGTCAGAATAATCAGAACCATATATACAGAATATGGTAGACAAAGTAAAATGTTAGAGTCTATTGATTAATCTACAAATTAGAATACATAAAAATTTGAATATATTGTATGTATTTTTTGCTAACATTACCTATAGTAGTTAACCTAGAGCAGTTACTTAGAATAAATAATGTATTAATAATATTAAATTAGGTAAAACTTTATTTTACTGTCGATTGCAAATTGACTTTCTGTGCCCTCAGCCCCTCTGCCATCTTTTATTCTCATCTCTGTCTGTCTCGTGCATCTGCATTATCAGCTTTCATGGGTGACATCCAAAATCTGACACCCGCTGTCACCCTACACCCATAAATCCTACCCACCCGCTATCCATGCCCCTGCTGCATGGTTGCGTCATGAGAGGTGGGTGTTACATGGAATATTACAGCTAAAACACAGAGGGTGTCTCCTCTCTAAACCCAGTCTGATTGGAGATTGGAAATATCTCTGACGCCGCTGATAGCAGGAGGGGAATAATAATTAACTTGTGTCATCCTCTGCCAGTTAAGATAAGACAAATCTCTCTTAAAACACCGCCAGCAACCAAAACTCCCCCGTCCTGTTTCTTAAAATCACCTGGTGAAAGCCATAAAAGTAAAACTCTGCTCCCGTACGTCCTGTAACACCCAGCTGACATACAGGACGCCATCTGAAGAATGCATCCGATGTATGCATTGACGTAGCATGGACGTGACTCTGCGCTGGTCACGCTAGAACCATGTTAAAGTTGTGTTGAAGCCGCACTGTGCCACCTGAGACACCCAAACAACTAAATGACAAACACATCTGAGCAGCTGCAGTATGTGGCAGCTACTTTGAAGTTTGACCTGTTCGTGGAGGACAAAAACGAAAACAGCGCCCACCTGCCAGGACTAAACCAAAGCAAATCAATCAGATTTATGGACTTAAAACTTCTCTCCTGTCTTATTAACTCAGCTCAGGCACAGAGTTCTTTATTGTGTCACTGTCTTGCACCGACCTTCAGTATCCCCCTGTTTGCAGACTCCTCCTCGCCGCTGTGGCCATCCTCTCCTTGTATTCTGTCCACCTGCTCCTCGTGACGGCAAAAGAAGGAGGTTGGTATTTCACCTTTCTTGCTCAGCTGTAGAATTTAAAACTGTGGTTCCAGACCTGAAGACCCTCACAATAGTCCACCTGAGTCCAAAGTAGAAAAAGAGGTGGATGAGAGGTGAAACGTCAAGTCCAGTACAAAAACAATTATGATTATTTTTCATCCCTTTCTCGAGTCTGTGTTCTTGTTTGTGAAACACTGTGCACCACTTTTAGCTCATCTGACTCTCGTATTCACATGTTTCCTCTAAGAAGGAAAAATGGCTTGTTGACTGAATTTCTCACTATGTAAAGTCATTATATACTGAAAATAGAGAAGTGTTAAAAACAACAAGAAGAAAACTTACATTTGTAACAAGCAATACATGTTTGTTTAAAGTTAATAAAAAACTTCATCCAATTGGTAACACACAATGTTCAACAATTTTCAGTGTTTTTTATTTATCAGGAATAAAATGTTATGTAAAAGTAAGTGCAGAGTAGAGTCTACATATAAAAGGTTTTAACAGTTCAGTGTGTTGAATTAAGTGACATCTAGTGGTGAAGTTGCATGTTGCAGCTGAAGGCCCCTCACCTCACTCTCCCCTTCGGGTCGAGAAAGAGAACCTGTGGTAGCTTCAGTTGTCATAAAAACTCAAAAGCTGTTTGTCCAGTTTTCTACGACTGTAAAAAACGATTTGTGCCAATAGAGCCCTTTCACCTCAATCTTACACGCTGGACCTTTAGTTTAATTTCACACACATCTTATGGGGTATAATCAGAAAGGTGGGGAAACATGAAATGTAAATTTCTATCTATTCATATATTAGTGTCTTAGTTCTTTTCCATGTCTAATTCTCCATCATCTTGTTCCTTCTGACAGGATCTCTCATCTATGAAAAGCTCGGGGAGAGAGCATTCGGTTGGCCTGGCAAAATGGCAGCATTTATATCGATAACCATGCAAAACATTGGAGGTAAATCACTGGGGTCATGTCAAACTAAAGGAAGATTCTGAATACATACAAAGTGTCATTAAAAGTGTACATGTCTGAATGTATGTAGGAAAACACAGCGTTTCAAATCTCCCAATATTTCCCTTGTCGTCCTTCTGCAGCCATGTCCAGCTACCTCTTTATTGTGAAGTACGAACTGCCGGAGGTGATCCGAGCCTTCTTGGGTTTAGAAGAATACTCTGGGTAAGTGAGTGCGTGTGTGCAACTTACACTATCATGGCTGTGCATCCTGTACATGTGCCATCTCCTCTGATTGTAACCTGTGTGCCATATTTTCAGTGAATGGTATCTGAATGGAAACTACCTGGTGGTGTTTGTGTCAATCGGAATCATTCTGCCTTTGTCGCTCCTGAAAAATCTGGGTAAGGACTTAATTCATGTGTGTGTAGTTATATATATATAAATATATATATATATATGTATCACCATCAAACTGTATATTGTTTAGTTATTTCATTCCATGCTTTGCGCTTCTGCACATTAAACCCTAATAATATCGAATAATCACTTCCTGCCACATGAAGCCAAACATCTCAGTGTGTCCGTGCTCTTGCAGCTGTCTGTGATCGGCTTCACAGAGCTACGAGTAACTTAACACTAGTCGAGTCCCTGAGTCAGCTCGGTGATAAATTACTGAGTTACAGTAACGTAACACTGCTCGTAACCCTTCTGGTAACCCTGCAGTCAACTCCGCCGCTCACATGTAATTTACAAAACGGAATCCTCAGGTTGGTCTCCGCTCCAAGAGCTTCAACATGCTGCGCACACCGAGTAGACTGGACATGCAAGTGAATAGCATGGAGGCTGCATGGCTGATCTGGTTTAAATTGTATAATGTCTCAAGCATTAGATTGGTGGTCATATCTGATGTCTGGTGACAACCCAGAATGGGACGTGACCCACATCCTAAAATAGACGGCTGATATGACAGCTACAGAGATAGAACAGAGCAGCGGAGGTGGAGAGTCAGAACTGTAAAATACAGTATCACATATATCTGCTGCAGTTGTCATTACTGATTTCTGTTCTCCTCTTTAGGATACCTGGGCTACACCAGTGGGTTTTCGCTCACTTGCATGGTCTTCTTCCTGGGAGTGGTAAGTTCAGCTTCTATAACAGCATGGCATTATGAACATAGAGATATGGCTACACCAGCTGCACTACCCCCCCATCTTCAAACTGAATTGTTTGCCTTTCACACATGAAATAAGCAGCAGGAGATTCTCTGCGCTATCTCTCTTTCACACACACACACACACACACACACACACACACACATACACACACACACACACAAACACACACACACAATGATAATAGATGAGCAAGATAGAAAAGGACATTTTATAAAAACTTTAAACCAGACATTTTTTTAAAACACATGTGAATGAAGTTGCTCATTTGTGCAAACTCCCCAAAGAATTACCACCCAGTGACCCACTATATCAGCTCTATGGAGCATATCAGATAGACAGAGAAAGAGAAATTGCAAAATGTTCGGATTGGATAACTGCTAAACTGTCAATCAAGCAGGGAGTTTGGTTGTGAACGTTCTTAATTTGTTGCTCTCTTATTTCCTTCATTTTTATCTTCAAGTTCCAGAACATAACATTATCTTGTCATTTCCCAGTTGATCTACAAAAAGACCCAGTTGCCCTGCCCTCTACCTTTCTTAAACAACCACCCGTCTAACCTCAGCATGAACGCCTCGGACGCGTCAGGGCTGTACATGCTGGGAAACCGTTCGGCGCAAATGGATTTCTCTCGAGCCGACGTGTCGCCGGCGGTCCTGGGCAGCCATGACGCCCACCACTCCACCGGTGTCCAAGTTGAGCCTCACCCTGACGACGAGGAGATGTGCACGCCCAAGTACTTTGTCTTCAACTCACAGGTAGGTGGTTGAAGAACAGTTGGCTGGCTCTCAGTTGTGTGCAAACATGTGTCCAGCTCGTAAAGTTCAGCTTTATGTGTAAACATAACCTCGTTTCGAGGAAGAAAGGTGAAGGTTTAAAGGGCGCGACACCGGAAAATGCAGATCAACGAGTGGGTTTCGTAGGTGTCTCACAAACATTCCTCCATTGGTTCACAAGACTTTAAAATGTACAAAATTAAAGATAATATAACTCCGCTCATGATACAAGGCTTCCACAGAGGAAGGCTCAAACTACCCAACAGGAACAGAATACAGAGAATGTGCAGTGACAAGTTTGGTGAAGGCGGGGTTGTTTTAGGGTGTGTTTTGGCTTTTGTGTGTTGTTAACAGCTTAAATGATCATAAATCATGATAAGAATGTGAAGCTTTGTGTTGACACCCGGACACAGTCAAAGAGGAGAGGTTTTAACTGAAGGTTCCTTTCAGCCTCATTTGTTTACATATTTTTAAGATCTGACAGCACTGACAGGATTTTGTTGCCCTAGTCCATAAATCATAAATGAATCATCAGAAAGTGTTCGTGAAGGGCAGAGTCTGTTACAACATGTATGACAGTCGTACAACCAACAAACCAGCAGTGTTGGAGCTGAACCTGTGGGTGATAGTAGACCATGATGCCCCCAACATGTTTCATGTTCAGCTCCAGTGAGAAAGGGCTTTCTGTCTTTTTATTTTACAGTGACATCCCATAATTAGATGGCTTAGTAGAGTTTTATTTAGATTCACTGCACAGCGATTCTGTCTGAGTGAATTTCGTGTGTCTGTCCATCTGGTTTTCCTCAGACGGCGTACACCGTGCCAATCCTGGCCTTTGCCTTCGTCTGCCACCCTGAGGTCCTGCCCATCTACAGTGAGCTGAAAGAGTAAGTGCACCGATGCTGCCCCTCAGACAAACCTCACTATCTAGACGGTCTGTTGCAGTTTTAAGTTTTACTATTAATTCCAGAAAAAGTGTCACGGTACCTCACTATGAGCCAGTGTCACCGGGACTGTAATTCTAACCCACATAACCATGCCTATTGAAGTACCAGTGTGTAGTATAAAGGGGATATATTGGCAGAAATTGAATATAATACTCTATACTCTATACAAATACTTTCATTATATATTTTCATTATCACCTGAAAGCTTTAATCATAGTGTTTTCATTAGAAGGAACCCTCTTTCATGGAGCTCACAATGCTGCACTGCAATGTATCTTGAATGATTCTTGAATCTTTTATTTATACTATAACTTGAGCGTGACCCTAATATCTGTGTGTATGTGTTTCTCCAGTCGCAGCAGGAAGAAGATGCAGAACGTTTCCAACCTGTCCATCTTGGCCATGCTCATCATGTACATGTTATCGGCACTGTTTGGTTACCTCACCTTCTACAGTAAGAAGAGAAGCCTATTGTCAAAAGATACAATCTGAGCAGTGGAGAGATGATTTATGTGAGAGGAAGAAAGAAAATCTTATTTGAGCCTAAAATGGTTCAGTAATTGAAACCTCCTGAAAACTAGATTGGAAATGATCTCCCTGGTGGAACTGAAATAAACTCCAAACATGTGACACGTAACAAGGGACCACAAAGAAACTGTTTTTGTTGATTACCTCCATCAAGGACCTAATGTGTTTATCTCTGTTTGTTTGTTAGTTAGGGAGTGTGTTTTTACATTTTCACTGGTTTCCCAGGGAATAAATCATGACTCCTAATGAAAAAAATCAGGCTCATTAAGGAAACAAAAATCTTTGAATGTGTGTAATTTTGTGCAGCTATATTGAATTTGAGGCGGGATGTGCTCCAATAGTGTCATTCTAGTTGAAAATGCATTTTTCATAATTATAATGTTTTAATGATTTGATTTTAAAATAACAGTTTTTAGTTAAGATGGTATCAGTGCATTAATGGCTCATGCTTTCCCAGAATCCATGTATAGAAAACTACTATAATACTGAGTACCTGAGTACTTGTCTGTTTTCCTTTGTCGAATCCACAGACGTTTTCATTGTTCTGTTGTTTTTCGTTTCTCCTTCATCACAGATAACGTGGAGGCAGAGCTGCTCCACACCTTCACCAAGGTTTATAAGTTTGACACCATGTTGCTGCTGGTGCGTTTGGCCGTTCTCACCGCCGTCACCCTGACTGTGCCCATCGTGCTCTTCCCTGTAAGTACATCACACAAAAACACACAGTCCGTCTCTGTCAGGTTCAGTTTTTTTTAAACTCTCCTCCATGTATAAGGAGAAAAAAAAAAAAAAGCTTTTACGCTCATGTTCATTCAGGCTCTGTTGTCTATTATCTACAGCATCATTAAGTGGAGCCTTGTCCGAGCACTGATATAATTGCATTTACGTCAGAGCGCACAAACATATTCCTCAAGTCAACACAAACACACACCGCCCTTGTAATTTAGATCATCTGGCCTCTGCCTTCCACACATTGCCAACCAGCTGCTTGTAAAACCGTGTCCATCCATTCATTGGAACACTGCTGCCACTGCGTGTCGTTCTGAACACAGACAGTGTTTTGTGTTCGCTGCAGTGTCAGCTCCTTTTCTGTTACTTTTCTTGATGCAGCTGATTTGTTTTGTGGCAGTTTGGTGAAAGAGAACATGCCGTCCAGTTTGCCACTTTCCTCGTGTCGTCATCTCAAATCCTGAGACGTGCAGGCTAAGGGTGTAAACGGCCGCACCTCTTAATTACACACACCAACACACACTATTTTTAGGTCTCAACAGTAACACCTGTGTTACTTGTTGTGTCTGTTTCCCTATTTTCTCTCCAGATGGAGCCAAAGTCTTTGTTGGACTATGTGTGTGATGTCCACTCACCAGAACTAATCTTCTCACTGACATTCATTCACATGCTCTTCTCACTTCCCACACCTTCTATGGACAAGGGCTAATTTTAGCATGGCCCTTATCTGACACCAGGGAAACAAAAATGGCTGGTGGCCACACACACACACTTTCTCACACAAACTTGGTTTAATGTGTAACCGCGAGCAGCTGCTAATTCTTGAGTTGCGTCTGCAGTGGTTGTAGTTACAGTAGGCTGCCACCAGAGAGAGGCAGTGTCTTGGTATTCAGTTATAAGAACATGCTGACAGACAATGATGCAGCAACGACTGGACTCATGGTAACAGATAGATATGGCACACACACACACACACATCCATTTACTGCCTTATCTGCACTCATATATACACACATCATCATCACATATTAGCAATTCAGCTTATGCCTCCGCCCTCACGCAATGTTAACACACACATAGAGCGAGAGAGGGAGAGAGAGAGGGAGAGTGAGACCCCATCCTTTAGCAGACGCTGCTGTTTTTTTCTGGCGCAGGGAATGTGAGAGAGGATCCCCCCTCTCTCTGCAGTGGAAGTTTACAGCCTCAGAGAGGACAGTGGAAAAACCCTCACCCTGACTGCCACCTTCAGGGAGACAGTGGGGCAGAGCCACTCACACAGGGGGAGGGGGGGGCACAGAAACACAAACCTCTGCCAGGGGACACAGCCCTTTAAATGTGTTGTGTTAGTCAGAGATTATGTTTGGAAAAGTGCATCAATCTGCATCAAAGATCGAGAGAAGGAATCTCACGATTGGCTGATCTGCGCCAAGAGAGAATACGGGAATATATTAGGATTTTGGATGAAGTGTGTGACTCCATTTTAATTTTATTCAAGTCTGGTGGCTGCCATAGTTACAGCAGGTTGCCAAAACCCCAAATCAGTCCGTAGACGCTGGTGGTTTTCTTGCACATGATGCAGATTATCAAAACCAGATGACAAACTCTGACATCCTGGTGATTTGTGATCATGTGTGGTCGTGTTAACTGCAAACATGCAGTTGCTGTGCAGTATATTCACGTGTCTGTGTGTGTGTTTGTTTTCCTGTTATCTGGGCACAAACCTGCATTTTTATCCAATCGATATATAACCCTTAAACCAAATATATCTGCAGCACATTGATTTTGAATGATACTCACATTAAATGCAATTCAGTAGTATTTGAAATAGAGGAGGATAAGTGAAGTGAAAGTTAAAGAGAGGGGGAGGAGGACTTTGATAACGAAGGAGATAAAAATTTGATAAGGACTGAACACAAGCCTGAAATGTGATGCAGCAAAAAAAAAGCTGTAGTGAAGTGCAGCTCAGTGAAAAGAGCAAGGGAGAGTTTGGGGTTCAAATCCAAATGCAGCTCAAACCTTTGTGCTTTTTATTCAGTTTAGTATTTCAAGCAAATGCATGTTGTTTTAGAAACTGGTTGTGGCCTGTATTTACCTGCATGGACACCTGAGAGATGGTGTGAGTCATATCGTTACATCAGTCAGGTTTAGTGACAAGATCTAGATCCTGAGAGACAGCATTGTGAATGAAACGGCTGCTGTCCAGAAATTTGATTTGATCGGTGTGTGATTTTCTGTGCAGAGCTGGGAATGTTTCATTCAACCGACCATCGCAACAGGCCTTTCGCGAAAGATTGACGAACTTGGACACATGTGAGGCTTTGGATGAAAAGAATTACTTAGTCCCACCGTCGTTCTGCCAAGTTTCCATTTGACATTTAAGTGTCTTGCCTTGAATCCTCCCGACCTTCATTTCGCAGGAAAATGCCGCCGACCTTCAGCCAGAGATTAACATTAGCTTTGTCTGTGGCAGTCCTTGGCTCCGGTGGGGAAGTGCTACAAGAGAGAATGTGTGGGTGTGTGTACGTTTGGAGGGAGAAACGTTTTAAGGTGTGGAAGTGTACGTGTGTGTGTGTGTGTGTGTGTGTGTGTGTGCAGTCACGTGAAGGATAGATGCTAACAGAGGGCTTTGGCAGGATCCAGTACATAATGAAAGGGCTTTATGTGCAGTCAAACATGCCCCAGTTCTCAGGCTCGGGCTGGAGATTGTAACCATGGGAGAAGGGGCTGCAAGTGAGCTGATTATAACGGCTCCAACGTCACCTCTACATGCTACCATCATGCAGTCAGATTTCAGTCTTAATCCCCAGCTCTGATTGTGAGGTGCTACCTTCGCTGCTCTTCTCTTAAGTCTTGTAACAGTTTCTGTTTTGGTAAATTAGGGAAGGTAAAAAGTTAACACCCATTTAACAACACCATGACAGGTGTGAAAAATATATATTCACCTCCACCAAGGGGGCTGGGTGTCATGTTTCCATCTCCGCCGAATACAACTCGTGTCTACTGCACAGTCGTTGGAGACTGCAGTGAATGCTGGGTAAATCCATTCCCACTGCATACATAATGGGTATTATTGCATTTTTTTGACCAGTTGAAAATGGGCTTTTGTGAACAAGATCACACAAAAAATATTTTTAACAGATTTCCACAAAACTTGGTGGAAGGATGCAATATGAATTTGATTTTGGTGTGAATCTGGATCAGGAATATTTTTTCACTCTCTTTAAGAAAGTGACACGGCGTTTTTCAACATTATCAGCAATTAATCTCAATGAAAAAAAACAGACATGCTCTCTACTGAGTGCTTATCTCGTTTTACTTGAAAAGGGACTTCCTCTGCTGCTCAAAGCCTCAGCCTCAACGGCTTACAGTCAGCAGCCGTGTAAATTCAAATGTGTGGCGGCCACCTCTGCACTAATTTTAGATAAAGTTGCACTTTCATATGTGCACAACACCATAACTTACAGAAAACACAACAATAGTTTGCAGGAAATGGGCTCAAGTGCACAAGGTTTGAATTCTTCTGTGTCTTCATGGCATGGACAAGTTTTACAGGACTGAGGTCTGGCTGATCCCAGATTGGGCTGCCTAAAACTAGTCTGCCCACATACTGCTTGCGTGTTTGTATATACAAAGTGTGCAAATATCACATGGTGAACTCCAAAGCCTTTGGGCTAGGTAACAGCCAAGTGCCAAATAGTTTGGAGCCACGGAGAGAAATACTGCGTCCAGGCTCCAGTTTTCGTCCCTAATTATGCAACTGCTGGGGGGGGGTCGGTCGTGGTGGTTGTATAGTTTCAGGAGGGAAGCACTATTATTATCTCCCATGTCGATATTAAAGGGCAGGCGTCACCCCGGTGCCCCCTGACAATCGTGATGGAGGCCACTCGGTTCAATCTCACAGTGCAGAAAATCCAGTTAATGTGATTTTTTTTTTCTCCATTGCGCACCGCGCTAACTGGATATAAATCCTGTAGTCGAGTCAGATACAAGGACGGAATGTGGTCGCCTACCAGAAATGGCTCTCAAGAAGGGAAATATGTCCTTTTCAGGTGAACTAAATAAAGACGTTACCTCCTCTGAATCTTGTTTAAAAGATAGTTTAAAGTGTCTGCCACAGCTGTAATTAAATGTGTTGCCATGGTGACTGGTGACCCTCATCTGTCTTAACGTAGGAGTAGTGAGTTTAACAGAGGAAAGAAGACAGGCTGGCAGAGAGGAGGGAAAAAAAGTGACAATAGAACAAAGACACACCTCCCCCCCTGCTGGCGAGTCCATCCTCCTCTCACTACTGGCTGATGCAATCCCATGGTGCCATTGCGCTGCGGGAGATAATCCCCCGCCTTTTTGAATGGGTGCCACAAGCACTACCCCCTTCTAACCTTTCCCCCTGTGGCCCGCCAGCTCTCTGTGCCTCAGGTTTCACCTGACACCCACAACCTTTCACCTACTTGAGGCTTGAACAGGCAGTCTGTGGCTAAGCAGCAGCAGGCGTCTTAGCTGGGATCTCCTGGTTCTTTTGCATACACACTCACAGTCTCCCAAAACACACACTGTAGCCTTGCAGCACTTGACACACTTCACTCAGTGGCCAAGTGTGGGAATCAGTTTCAGGCACAGGCCGGCAGACACGCAGACTAGACTGTTGTTGTTGCTGGTAATGACTTGTTTCTTCGACAGAGACAGACTGCATGTACAGAAACACTGCCACGTGTTTCATGATACTGTGAAGTCAGTTGGACTTAGTCCTGGCTAGTCCCATTCATGTCTATTAGGAGCTGGCTGAGTGCTCTGGAGCTACTTCAAAATTATTCCTTTTCATTAGTGAGTCCTCATCAAACACTTCTACAATAAACTCACTTTTTATTGTTTGTGTGCTGGACGTTGTGCGCATAAAAACAGATCAGTTTGTTATAATATTATTATAATATAACAAACTGATCTGTTTTTATTATTTGTGACCAAGACTGTAATGTCCATTTGTGTTTCTTCCCAGATCCGCTCTTCCATCACCACATTGTTATTCAGCGGTCGAGAGTTCAGCTGGACTCGCCACTTGCTAATCGCCGCCGCAATTCTGGCCTTCAACAACGTGCTGGTGATCTTTGTCCCAACCATCAGAGACATCTTTGGCTTCATTGGTGAGTCCTGGCAAACACAAAACTCATAATTTTGCTGGAGAAAGATTTGTATGACATGTAGACATGTGAAAACTTGCATAAACCACAGGGAGAAATGTGAGAGAAGCAGTAAAGACGTGATTAGCACCTTCAGTTCAGGGGTCCTTTTATTGAGTAAAGATGCTGGAAATACAGAAGCTTTAAGTGTCGGGTTGTGTCAGCTGTGCAGTCGCGTGAGCTGTTTATGACCACTGGACTCACACACTCATAATCTGGATGCCAACACACACAAAGGCAGAAAGTGCCAATACATTTATCGAGGTGCCCTGTAAAATATTCAGCTGCAGCCTGTCTGGAAAACTGCACCTCAGCAGGAGAAAACTGAAATGAATTCATCCTCTTAACAAATTCCCAGCTGATAAAGTGCATTAAAAAGTACGGTCTCCATTTGAATAGAGGAAGTGCGCGAACCGGTTCATATCATGATGGTTTAACAAAATGATTTGTCAGAGACAAAGTCATTCTAGTCATTCATTTCGACGAGCCATTCCTTACGTGTCAGGACGGCTGATGGCAGGGCTATATTTGTGATGTCCAATTTACATTAGCAAACCCACTGTACCATGGGAATTACTGCAAATGTGGTCATAGCTCAGGTATTTACTTAAGCTGCTATTCAAATTTTTTTTTGGTTTTGGGGACTTTTACCACAGTCTAACGTTTTAAAGGGGAACTCTCAGGTCATAGTTCAACACTATCAGGTCTATCATGTGGGTGAAAGTAAACCTACTTACACTTTATCCAAGAAGTATTTCGTTACCCTGCTGAAAGTGTAGGAAACAAAATAAATATTTTACGTAGGTGTACTTTCAAATGGTTTCGAATTGTATCTAATTGGTTGAATCTCTGCTGCTTTTTGTTGCAGGTTCTTCTGCGGCGACTATGCTCATCTTTATTCTACCTGCTGCCTTTTACATCCGCCTGGTAAAATCACTGCCATTCCGCTCCCCGCAGAAGATCGGGGTAAGTGTGCAGGGACACACACACTCACACACACCAACAGATTTCTCACTGTATCACTTTTCTCACTGAGCAGACTCCTGCTGTGCATCATCACACATTTAATCCCTCCTCTGCCTCCTCTCCTGTCTCTCTCTCTTCAGGCGACCGTCTTCCTGGTCGTGGGAATCATCTTCATGATTGGCAGCTTGTCACTCATCGTCCTTGACTGGGTCCACAACCCCCCGGGCTCCAACGGCGGTCACTAAGCCCCTCTTCCTCCCTCCTCAGATCCATGTGTGCAGTGATGCCCCGAGCAGCACCACCACCACCACCACCACAATCCCAATCAAGTTCCTCCACAGCCTCAGCTGCTCCCACATCTGGGGATGGGTTCATCAGAGGTTCCCTTCATCAGATCTTAAACATCAATCATAGAACCTCAACATAAAGACAAAGATTTGCTGCACTGGGTTAAGACATCTTCAGTTTTTCCTCCAGAGAATATCACTGGAGTGACATTTTTTAGCTCGGTTTATTTGTTTTTGTCTTTTAGGATTTTTTTTCTTTGTTGCTGTAAAGTTCTGGATGTGACACGATCAAGAGAATCAAAACTCAGAGAGGGAGAAACAGACTCTGGTGTAACCAGTAAACCAGCCTGAAATCAACATCATCATCATCATGACCATAATCATCATCATTATTTCCAGCTATGAAGAGACAGAATAAACACATACTGTGTAGCAATCACCTACAGATCTGTGAACTGCAATTTGCATGGCTGGAAAGACAATGCGAGTCCCTCAGTGCTATGTGCACCTGAAGGTGAAGTGTGCTTTCCACCATGAAACAAGGAGCACTTAGCGCTAGCATTACACTTCACTTTGTGTGTAGAGCTAACAAACATGTGCACACGTAAATGCACATATGTAAATGTATTGAAACACTTAAGCTGTTATTCATGCAAAAAAACCTGCAGTCAATCAGAGCTGTCGGCTGATCTCAAAGCAACGGTTAATCTATGTCTTCATTCAGTCATGTAGAACTTTTATTCTGGAAATATTGGTTTAATTTGCAAACAATCAGAAGCTTTGCCAAAGTCTTCATGCACATACAGCTTTAGTCGATGGGGTTCACACGAGAGTTTCCCGTCTCCACATTCGCAAGGAGCTTCCTCGTCAGCTGTTGTCATCCCAGCTGACCACACGAAGCGAAAAGGACACTTTAGCTATTACTGTCACATCTGAACACGCAAAGTATGAATGTACATAAGTTAGGTTATCTACTGGAAAAGATTTAGTGTTGTACATAATATCTTACTTGACCTCAAGTAGGCTCTTTGCCTTTCACGTTTTATGAAGTTGAATTAGCCTTTTGAACTCACATATACACCCACTGGAATAATTTATAAGGCACCTGACAGTGCTGTACTAGTGAATATATGTATAAAAACTATTTTATAGTTTGCAGCTAAGATAAGTTCAATTGGGGATTTAAAAAAAATATTCAAATCAACCAGCAGAGCCAAACTGGAAGGCTAATTTAAAATCTGCATGTCAATTCAAGATGCCAAGACTGTAAGTAAAAGTGAAATATTTCAACTTGTGCCAAACTATCTTCTCCTCTTCACTCTCCAAAATGTCATTTAATAATATAATGTAAGGCCTGACTTTCTTATATAATGTCATCAAATGCCTGTTGAGCTTAAAGTTTTTTAATATTTAGGGAAATGCAGTTATCTGTTTTTCTACTTTACCAAAGTTAGAAGAGAAGACTGAGCACCCTTACGTCTGTAATTGAAATATGAAATAAATTTTACAGCCAGCAAGCGATTAGCTTAGCGTAAAAAATCGGTGGTGCGGGAGAATGGCAGTCTGAGTCTACCAGTAAAACCACAATTTCAACAAATAAGATTCAAATTTCAACTTTCAATGTTTAAGCTCCAGAGGTGATGCTTAGTGGATCAACCAATCCATGGCTTACCTGCCCTTTAACCCTTCATGCTAGGTCTAATTAACTGTCTCCAGGCGCTAGCTTCAAACTTTGCAAACAGACATAAGAGTGGCGTCAATTTAAGAAGGAAAAGTGTCAAAAATGTCAAACTTTTCTTCCTAAGAGTAAAATATCCCACACTTCATGAAACTTGTTGTAATGGAGGAGCTAGCTACAGAACCTATACCTACTGTACATGCAGAGGATATGACCAATGTATGCAAGATAGTTAACCAAGCTCAAAACTAATGTCGGACTCAAATTATGAAATTTCTGTCTTTAAATGGTCGAGTTGCCCTTTATCAGGGAAGACTTATTTTTTGTTACAGTAAATTCAGACATGTTTTTGAGCACTTGAAGCAGAGCACACAGGTCACTTTGTCGGTCTTGTTCACAAGAAGGACGCTCAGTCATTAAGCTCAGTGGAATCAGGTAGTTACATAATTTCAGTATTCAGTCTGCCGTTGCACATTTTTAGATCAACTGACATATTTTATCTAAATCAGATTAAAGGATAATTCTCTTTTATTTATCCATTTTGACCATTTTCGATTCAGATATGGTGCCTTTGGTAAAATCAATGACAGCAACATTAACAGCCCAGATTTGTTCATTTCACTTCTCCTCCAGTGCCGTTATGTGTCACGAACACATCCAGCCAAAGTGGACAACATTTATATAGATCCTTTGCGGATCTATGTACATGAAACAAATAGATATTTCAAATGAAATAGTGTATTATGTGCATGTTTTTGGATTACAAACATGGTCTTTTTGGACAATTGTATATGCTCTGTAAATAATCTTTATTTTATGGTACACTTACACTCATCGTCTGTGAGTAGGTTGTTGGGGAATTCTGCCTTTCAAGTCATCTGCAATCCAGTGGTTTTTTAGTATATATATAAATATATATAACTTGTATTAGACATTTTTCTTGCTGTATGACTGTAGTTTTTTCCCCATTTATTTGAAGCTTGTATATTTGTAGAAAATGTTGGTCTCTCAATATATCCATTGTCATGTTTTAAGGTTAACTTGTCATATAGGGATGAATCAAATAACAAATAACGGCTTCATAACAGTTAATAATGTGATTTCTCAGAAAGAAACATGGCAACAGGTTTCTGTCCCTTACTGGCCCCTGCTAAGCACAAATGTGTTTGAATCAAAGCCACAAGCAAGCAGTGTTGACGTTGTATGTGTTTTACGAAAACAACAAGAACATCCAAAGTTTTTCACACATGTCCGGAAGGTTCTTACTGTATGGAACATTTTGACCATTTGTAATAAGAGTTGATGGTTTTTCTGTTATTTATCAAATGACATGTAATGTAGTCATATGTAGTCATACATCGATGCAGTCATACACTGCTTTGAAACTCTACAAGGAAATCGTACACAGTCGTAGTTCTTACAGTCTTTATCACTACTGTTGTTAAAAACATCCACTCTTGGTGAGGTGTTATTCATAACATCATATTTTGTGATGTTACCTGAACTGAATCTTTTCACAGAGTCATAAAGTCCACTTTAAGTACCTGCAATGAATGTTCATCAATGGATTGTACTCAGTTTGAAAACCCAGTTTACTCATTCTGGATAAATTTTGCGAATGTTTGCCTGCAACTTAATTGGCCTACTGCTGTCAGTGGCTTATTCTGCTCACCGACAGTCTGTGTTGGAGATGTGTGTCTTCCTCAAGTTTGGGTTACATCCTTTCAAAAGGCACAAACTCTTGCAAAGAAAGAGATGCAGCATGTTTTTTTAGCTGAATGCTCCCAACACTACACCTCTTCCCCCTTTAGTATCTCAGGTATTCAGTCTGGATGAATTCTTTCATCTTACTTTTGGATAGATTCAAATCTCTTCACCTCTTTTGCATGATTGAGCCAATACGTACAATGCTGTTGTATACTGAGCTGGCTGAGAAGAGAAGTTCTCATGTGGATTTGTAAATGTTAGACAAGTTTCCAGCTAATAATGACAATGTTTCGAGACAAGTTGTACAGAACCACCTGCCTTATTTTTCTATATACCCTCAGCCGTGGACAAGCACTGGCTCAATGTTCACTGTGTGTCTGCTTCCTGTGGATCAGGCCGAACATTCTGATGTGTCATTTTATCCAAACAAAGGGGGTGTTTGTTTGTTTTTTATCAGTGATGCTGTTTCATTATTGATGACCAATAAAAAAATGTGAAATGAAAAATACTTCTCTCTTGTTTTTTACTTTCAAGTCAAAATAATAAATTGTAGAAATGCACCCATGAGATGCCCTCAAATGCACTAAAAACTAAAATCAAGAAAAAGATTTGGATATAACATCATACTTTAAGAAATGAAAATGCCTTTATTTGAGTGAAGTAAATGCAAAAAATGTATTT